TATGAGTCCGGTATTGTCTCGTGTCAGGTGTTTCTTTGTTGTGCAAGAAAGGTATAAAATACCGACAATATGAAAGTTAAGACACATGTGCAACATCTGGATATCTTTATTGTAGTAGACGTTTCGCCATCCAGTGGCTTTATCAATACAGATTCTAGGACATAATAGGAAGACAGTAGAACTATATACAAAAGATGAGGTAATCAGTCCCTCGGCCTTGGAGTTAGTGTTCACAGCATCGTGGTGGAGGAGAGTCTGGAGCAAAGGGAAGAAGACTGGCGCTTTTTATAGGGCGTCAGTGAATGGGACGGGCAGCAGACGAGGGCAGTCACTGGGAGGCGGGATTCCCCAGTGGAAGTAGGTCCTTCCCAAAGAATGGGTTAGTTGCAGCAGCCGTGAAGAAGGTCTTGTAGATGTCCTCTGAACCAAGTTCCCTGATGTTGCAGTGTCTGACAAGTTGTGCAAGAAAGGTATAAAATAACCGACAATATGAAAGTTAAGACACATGTGCAAACATCTGGATATCTTTATTGTAGTAGACGTTTCGCATCCAGTGGCTTTATCAATACAGATTCTAGGACATAATAGGAAGACAGTAGAACTATATACAAAAGATGAGGTAATCAGTCCCTCGGCCTTGGAGTTAGTGTTCACAGCATCGTGGTGGAGGAGAGTCTGGAGCAAAGGCAAGAAGACTGGCGCTTTTTATAGGGGTCAGTGAATGGGACGGGCAGCAGACGAGGGCAGTCACTGGTAGGCGGGATTCCCCCGTGGAAGTAGGTCCTTCCCAAAGAGATGGGTTAGTTGCAGCAGCCGTGAAGAAGGTCTTGTAGATGTCCTCTGAACCAAGATTCCATGATGTTGCAGTGTCTGACAAGTTGTGCAAGAAAGGTATAAAATACCGACAATATGAAAGTTAAGACACTGTGCAACATCTGGATATCTTTTTTGTAGTAGAACGGGTTTCGCCATCCAGTGGCTTTATCAATACAGATTCTAGGACATAATAGGAAGAAGTAGAACTATATACAAAAGATGAGTAATCAGTCCCTCGGCCCTTTGGGGTTAGTGTTCACAGCATCGTGGTGGAGGAGAGTCTGGAGCAAAGGCAAGAAGACTGGCGCTTTTTATAGGCGTCAGTGAATGGGACGGCAGCAATGGGGGAAACCGCCTACCAGTGACTGCCCTCGTCTGCGCCGCCCCTTCACTGAGCCATAAAAAGCGCCATCTTCTTTCCTTTGCTCCAACTCTCCTCCACCACGATGCTGTGAACACTAATCCAACCGAGGGACTGATTACCTAAACTTTTGTATATAGTTCTACTGTCTTCCTATTATGCCTAGAACCCTGTATTGATAAACCCCACTGGATGGCGAAACGTTTTACTAAAATTTTAAAGATTTTCCAGATTTTCCCCACATTTTCCTTAACTTTAATATTTCGGTATTTTATCCCTTTTCTTCCCACAACTTGTAAAGACACGCAAAAATCATGGAATTTTTTGGTTCCCAGGGGACATCTAAAAGGGCCTTCTTCACGGCTGCTCCCCAACCCAACCCATCCTTTTGGGAAAGGGCCTACTTCCACGGGGGAAACCCGCCAAACCAGTGACTGCCCTCGTCTGCGGGCCCCGTCCCTTTAAATTGCCCGCCTATAAAAACCCCGTCTTCTTGCCTTTCCCTCCGGGACTCCCCTCCAAACGATGTTTGTGAACACAAACTAAAAGGCCGAGGGATGATTACCTCATCTTTTGTATTTTATTTTCAAACTTTTCTTCTTTATGTCCTAGAATCTGTTTGATAAAGCCACTGGATGGGGGAAGGGGGGGGTTTTATACAAAAAAGATACCCAAGGTTTGCCACAGTTCTTAACTTTATATTGTCGGATTTTAACCTTTCTTGACAACTTGTCAGACACTGAAAACCACCCATGGAATTTGGTTCAGGGGAAACATCTACAAGACCTTTTCACGGCTGCTGCAACTCCCCACTCTTTGGGAGACCTATTTTCCACTGGGGAATCCCCCTTACCAGTGACTGCCCTCGTCGGCTGCCCCCCCATTCACTGACGCCTATAAAAAGCGCCAGTCTTTTTTGCCTTTGCCCCGATTTCTCCTCCACCACGATGCGGGTGAACACAACCCCAAAGGGGCCGAGGGACTGAAAACCCCTAAATCTTTTTTTAAATGTTTACTGTCTTTCCTATTATGTCCGAACTGTATTGAAAAAGCCACTGGATGGCGAAACGTCACTAAAATTTAAAGATATCCAGATTTTGCACATGTGTCTTAACTTTCATATTGGGGGTATTTTATACCTTTTTTGGGCACAATTTGGGTAGACCGAAACCCTTCATGGAATTTTGGTTCAGAGGACATCTACAAGCCCTTTCTCACGGCGGGGGGGGTTGCAAAAACCCCAATCTTTTTTGGGGGTTGGGGACCTACTTCCACGGGGGAAACCCCGCCACCGGGAAATGCCCCGTCTGCTGCCCCCCCTTTACACGACCCTATAAAAAGCGCCAGTCTTTTTCCCTTTTGCTCCAGACTCCCCTCCACCACCGTGCTGTGAACACAAACCCCAAAGGCCCGGGGGATGATTCCCTTTTTCATCTTTTGATAAAGTTACTGTTTTCC